AAAGTACTTAGAACTGTATGTGCAGCATATGGAAAGTGCAGGTGTTAGCTACTCCTTCCTCTGCGCCAGGCGGTGACTGAGTCCTTGGCAGGCAGTTGTTAGGTCTTTTAATTTTCACAATGGTCCTGCAAAGCGTGATGACTGGCTGCATTTTGCAGCTGAGAGAGTGTGGGTGTAGGGAAGTTTGGTAATTTCTTCAGGCCTATCTACACGGCTCCTAAGTCACAGGTATGCTGTGATATGACCCAGGTCTGTCTTGAGCACATTCTGCTTACCACCAGACTTACTATAAATTAAGGGAGGACTACACATTAAGAAAGGACTACAGACGGGGATCTATTTTCCCAAATAAGTTTTTTTAATCTAAAAAACAATCAACAAGTCTGATGAAAAAAGCAGAGAAGGACATGGCTTAGGAGTGAGAAGGGGCAAGACCATAACATCAATGACGCCATGCCTGTGAAAAGTTTATGCAAGCGAACGTTTGCTGTAATAAATGGAAGGTGATTTCATGTAGGAAAAAAAAAATTTTCAGATAGGCCTCTCCTTGTGAATTTCCAAGTTCAAGTGACTCAGCTGTACAGCGGATGCTATTAGTCCCTAGCTCCTGCTGCTATTAATTACAGGAAGCAAAGCTAGCCAATTGCTCCACACATGTTAGATACACACACACACACACACACACACACACACACACACACACACACACACACACCCCTAAGCTAATTACAAAAATACAAGTTGCTGGCCAGCCAGTGAGAACAACTGTGATCTGGTTTAGTTAGCACCTCCAAATACAACAGTGCCAAGCCCCCACAGACTGACTGGCAGGAAGCTTTTTCTCTCCCAATGATTCCATTCCCAGATGTTTCTAGAAGCCTGAACTTGTCTGTTGCTTCAGCCCTTCCAGTTGCAGGACCTTTCTAAACAACTTTACCTTCCTTTTTATGGTGTCCTGGGGATTTTGCTCACCACCTGCACCCTGGCTGCCACTTGTCAGCCCCTTCTGCTTTGGTGGCCTTTGCTCCCATGGGACCTTCTGCTCCACTGTCCCTGGCCTCCAGACTTTAACCACCGATATGCTGGGGAACTGGTTGAGCTCCTCTGGATCGCCCACCTCGTCACGTCTCTATAAACCCCTTCTTCTGTCATGTCTAGTTCTTTCGTAGAAGGTCACTTTCTTGGCCCCATAACTTTTTATTTTACTAAGTTCAATTCAATCCACCTATATTGATACCTCTTCTGAGCTAGGTGCTCTGTGCTGGGAAACCAATGATAAATGAACACTTTTCCGTGGTTTTAGGAACTTACATTCTAGAGGGGAAAAAAGCCTCATAAAAAGATAGTTTCAAAATACGTGATAATAATACGCAGAGTTGTGCACAAGTCAAATGAGAACACAACCCATCCTCGTAGTTCAGGAAAGCTCAGGATATGTAACCAAATAACAGCCCATGAAACCCGATAAAGGCCAAATAAGTCAGTTGTTAACCAGATAAAAGAAAAGGATGGAAGTTCAGGTGGAAAAGACGACTTGAGCCGAGACAAAATGGCACACACAGAAAAAAGACATGCAGTTCAATGGTGCGGATACCTCAAGTAGGAAGCAGAATGTGCATCAATAAAGGAGGGGGGTAGATAGAAACAATATTATGGAAGGTTCTGCAGATATCACCATGTTAAGAAGTTTGGGTTTAACTCTGGGGTGTGTGTTTCTTAAGCTTTTTACATCACAGAATATTAAAATGAATGAATTCTATGGACCCTGTTCTGAAATTTAGAAAGAGGCTATGTGAACATGCACATACAAATGTACATTTTAGCCATCCCACCTACACCTCCAGAAGTCAACCCACATTTAAAACGTGGAAGACAGAGATAGGATAAGCTAGGGTGGTGAAGGAGAATCCCTTGAAATATTTTAAGCACAGAATGACATGATCACATGTTAGCTTAAGTACATTACTGTCAAGTTTCATAACGGGCAAGTCTGGAGGCCGAGAGTACAGAACAAAGATGTTCTGTCATGAGACAAGGGATGACAAGGTTGTGAACCTGAGCGTTCGTGGTAAGACTTGAAAGAAAACTATAAAAGCAGCATGTCTTGATGAGCGATTGGATGTGAGTCATGAGGAAGAGGAGGATTCAGGTCTCCAGCTTGGACAACTGGCAAAGCAACTGGAAGAGTAGGCTGGTTGGGAGAAAGAGCAATGAGTTTACTTTTGGTCATTTGCGTCTGAGATGTCTTTGGGACAAGACACCAGGCAACTGGATGTCAATTAGGTAGACTAGTCTGAAGCACCAAGGAGAGGTCAAAGCTAGTGGTACAGATTTGAGGGCTCATATGAGAATCTACTAACCTGATTTTCATTGTACTGAAGTATTGTATAAATACCACCTTCTAAAAATTCACAACAAAAAACGCTTTTCTTTATCTTAGTTTTCTTTTACTTCATTTACTTTTATTTCTTTTACTTTAACGTGATTTTCCCGAGAACAAAATTCTAAAAAACAAAGGATTCTTATTATACAACATAGTGACTATAGTTAGTAACAATATGTTGTATTTTTGAAAATCAGTATGAGTAGATTTTAAACATTCATAATATAAAACAATGTTATGTGAGGTCATGTATATGTTAATTAGCTCAATTTAGCTATTCCACAAAGTATACATATTTCAAAGCATCATGTTGTACACTATGAATTATACGTGTTTTAAAAATAGATATGTTTTTAAAAAAAACAAAAGATTCTGAATTTGCTATCACAATATTCCATTTGAATGGGAGATAGGATCAGGGGACCACAATGCTATGGAGAAACCCAGTTCAGATCTCCAAGTTGGGTCTGCTTCCTTCTCACTGAAATACCCTTTCTTTACTTTTACCTGTCTTCCCAGTGCTACATTAAGTTCAAACTGATGGGATAGAAAGAAGAGTCAAAAACTTCCATCTCAGATCCTAGTTGGTGTTTTAATAGGAAATATTCCTTTTTATTTAGTTTTATAAAACACAGAAGGAAGAAAATCATTCAATTGAGCCAAAATTTTAGTAAAGTTAATAGATTGTTGGGAATTCTAAGCTACCATATCTGGACAGGAAATAGACTGTAGGAGTCTTCCAACTGGCCTCCCCACAATCCACTGTCCATCAAGCAGCCAGAGTAATTGTGAAATATAAGCCAGAGCAATGACACTCTCCCACTTAGACCATCCGATGATTCCCATGGCTATTCAGATGAAGTCCTCACTTCCTTTGTGCGGTGTCCCACCCTTATCACTCCTCTCTCAGGCTCTTCCAGGCCTTCCCTGATGCTCTCTTGTTCCCTTTTCAAGACAAGCTGTTTCCTGACTGAGAACTGTTTTCCTCTTCCTAGAACTCTCTGCCATCAATATTTCATATAGCAGACTCTTTCTAATTTTCTGTGAGTTTAAAGCTCCACTCCTCCCAGAGGCCATCCCTGACCACCATTGCTAACCCTTAATGATCTACCCAACTGTATCACAGTACTGCTTTACTGTTCACATACATATAACATGATCTGAAATCGTGATTTTTGTTTTGCATATGTGTGTATTGTATATTGGAGTCATAAGACAGTGACTTCCTTTGAATCTCTGCATGGCCTTTGCACGGTCTGTAATAAGTACTTGTCAAATGAATGAACTAAATCAACCGACATCCCATTTCCTTAAAATTAGAAAGTAAACGGTAAAAGAAAAGAAAGAAAAGTACTCTGAACAAAAATGCCAGGTTCCGTAGTTGGCGCTGAAAATTAAACAGCACCTTTAAGTAACTTCCAGTCTGGTGAAAACAAGAGAAAATTGTGATACAGGGTGATAAATAACTAGGAGGCAAATAGAGTCCCATGGGATCACAACAGAGAAACCTAATTTTGTCTTAGGGGATCTCTTAAGGAGTCGCTAAAATCTGAAGGATGGGTGGAGGAGAGATGGAAGCAGAAGGAATGGAAGGAATGTGGTGAATGCCCAGGTAGAAGGAACAGCAAGTGCAAAATGGTGCTGGAAGAGATAGCAGTCTGATAAATGTTAAGCAGTTCCCTGTTCCTGGGGCGCTCTCCCAGGGTAATTGTAGGAGTAATGACTTCATAATTATACATACCTACTGTGAATGGTAACTCGTCATAGAAAACGTTATGAGCAAGTGCAGACCTGTACCTGCCTGTCACTTTTCCCCTGATAGTTCTTTTTTTTTTTTTTTTTTTTTTTGAGTTGGAGTCTCACTCTGTCACCCAGACTGGAATGCAGTGGCCGCTCCCGGTCACCGCAGCCTCGACCTGCTGGGCTCCGGCGATCCTTCCGCCTCAGCCTTCCAAGTAGCTGGAACTACAGGCGCGCGCTACCACGCCCAGCTAGTTTTTTGTTTGTTTGTTTATTGTAGAGATGAGGTCTCGCCAAGTGGCCCGGGCGGGTCTCGAACCCGCGGGCTCAGGTAATCCACTCACCTCAGCCTCCCAAAGCGCTGGGATTACAGGCTGAGCCACCGATCCCGGCCCCTGATAGTTCTTGATACTCAAAGAAAAAGGAAACATAATTTGGAAGAGGGACTTCGTGTGGCGGGCTCTGTGACTTACTCGCCGGTCCTAGGACTTCGCTCTATCCAGATCCTCTCCGCTGGCTGTGCAGACTCCACATGGGAGGGCGGAGAAGGTGTCGCCACGACCGCGAACCTCATTGGCCTTTCGAAGCGGAAACTGTTGGCGGATTGGCTGCCGAGGGACCCAGAGGCCCGCCCCTCCACCGCTGATTGGACGAGAGGCGGCCAACGCCCCCGCCGCCTTCCCCTCTGCTGTCCCGAAGGGGCCTGTTGCCTGGCAACCGACGCGCATCCCTCCCCCCTGGGCTGACACCGCGTCGCACCTGTGAAGCGGAGGCAACTTGCGAGGACGTCGTGCGCTTTACGCTTTCACCTCCCCATCCCACCTCATGCGCCCACCACACGGGCTGTCCCAGCTGCAAGTCCAAGTGTGCCTTGAGGCTGGAGCTGCGGTGACACTCCGCAGAGGAGGAGGCGCCGACGTTTTTCTTCTCCGAGTTCTCCTACAGCAGAAAAGACAGCCACTGTCGTATCCCAAATTTAGGAGCTACGTGTCCTGAGAGCGTCCTGAGGCTCAGAAAGCAAGTTGCTGATGGCAGTTTACTAAGTGTGGGAGGGTGGCCCATAACCTCAAACATCGGTCTCAGAGTAAACCCGAGGAGTTTGGTGACAAAGTGACAGAGCCTCAGCGGCCTTGTCATGCACCACAGAGCTTACCTCTTGCTGCGAAGAGACTTCTATGAGTTTCAGGAGAATGATCACGAGGTAAGTTCTGGGCACTTGGAGGGACGTATTTCACTGCATAGTCTTTTATTTATTTATTTTTATTATAAAGATGTGGGGTACAACAGGGTTGGGTATACAAATGCTGATTATGCAGGTACCCTTGGTGATGAGGTATGCCCCTCCCTCCCCTGGCAGTTTCCCTCAACTGCCAATCCCACCCCTCCTCCCCTGACAGTTTCCCATTACTGCCAACTGCTTTCTTATAGTATTATAATTGTTCCAGGTCCGCTTATGAGTGAGAACATATGATACTCTGTTCTTTGTTTCTGTGATAGATTTGGAATCGATCATATTTGTTTTCTTGCTATTGAGTTGTTTGAGTTCATTAGAAATGAAGACAGGTACCGGGCTCGGTGGCTCAGCCTGTAATCCCGTGCTTTGGGAGACCGAGGGGAGTGAATTGCCTGAGCCCGCGGGTTCTAGACCTGCCTGGGCAACTTGGCGAGACCTCATCTCTACAAAAAATCAAAAAATTAGCCGGGTGTGGTAGCGGGTGCCTGTGGTTCCAGCTACTTGGAAGGCTGAGGCGGAAGGATCGCTGGAGCCCAGCAGGTCGAGGCTGTGGTGGCCGGGAGCGTGCCACTGCACTCCAGTCTGGGAGACAGAGTGAGACTTCAACTCAAAAAAAAAAGAAAAAGAAAAAGAAATGAAGACAGGAGAAAAGTATGTCCTTGGTCTCTGCAATGATTGTTTTTTTATATGACCCCAACAATAGTGAAAATAGAGAAATAGGATTGCATTCAACTAAAAAATGTCTACACAGGTATGAAAACAATCAATAGAGTGAAGAGATAACCTGCACAATACGAAAAAATACTTGCAAACCCTATGTCTCATCATTATTTTTAAGAAGCAGCTTAACCTATGTCTATTCTTTAAGTCATCATTTAATGAAGCCTGATTTGCCATTATAGTATGGTTATTTAATGAATCTGTTTCACTACAGTAGTCTATTTAATCATAATAATTACTATGAATATCTATTTAATCATAATAATTACTATGAATACTTCAAAGTAACAAAGGTTAATGATACTGAGCACCTATTGCTGAGTATTTATGTGAATTTAAACCCTATCAGGGTCTATCAGGTAATAGATGACTCATAGATGCAGGATTACATTTATTAATTATAATACTATAAAATAAGTAATAGCTCATCTTACCTATCAGAAACCTAAGCCTCAGAAAGATTCAGTAAACATTTAGTCCCAGGGTTTCATTACAGGGATTTCTGACTTCAAAACCCTTGCTCTTAATTCTTGTTTTTGGCTACTTACTGTCTATTGCACTGACACCAGCCTAACTCATAAATGCCTTTCCCTTCCACTTCTAACACAGAGGAAGGCAATACTCTTTGTCCCCAGTGCCACCCATGAGGTTATCAATGTCCACGGTGCCACAGGGTGATTTGTGGAGGATGAGAAATGGGAGAGGGAGTAATGAAGGGAAAGAACTGAAAGAAAGCCAGCCACAGAAGGGAAGGTACTGAATGGTTCCCATGATGGCTTCAAGTGTAGTTCAGTGGCGTTGTTTGGTTTATACTTCTGCTATTAAAGTACTGCTTTCACTGGAGATGTTTGGAACAATTACTGAGTCCAACAACAAACATCCCAGCATCATAGACCTGACATTGGTATTGTTTCTGCTGATCCTGAACTTTGTAGTTCTCTGGTGAAAGAAAATCCAGTGAAGGGATATTTAAATACGGATAACAGAGATATAATGTTCATTCAGACAAGCACCTCACATGTTAAATAACTGTATGGTTACTCCGAAATATTTTTTGAGTTGTATTTAAGTGTATTCCTCAGCATATCAATAAGCTTTTCTATGAAATGCATTCTTTTCCTTTCGCTGAAACAATACAAGTGTAGAAAAATATTTCTTTTTATATACAAATATAATTTTGAATTTTTTTCTTAATGAAAATTTTCCTAATTCATGCCTTCCATATAGCCTTCATGTAGCTATAAAAAATTTTGAAGAAACATGTGCTTTCCAACTATTTATTTATAAATTTGAATCTTAGATTGGCTATTGTCTTATTCAAACAGTGTATAAGCCACACACTCCAATCATGACCTTCTAGTCCCTCTTGTGATTTCTTGCTAAGGATTTATTTTTTATTTACTATTGTATGTGTTTTCTAAAGTCTACCTTAACTTCTATAAAGTAAGACAGAGAACGCCTCGTCAGATCAGTATAAGCTTATCAAGAAAACTTTAGAGTGTTTAGAATTCACTGTAACCTAGTATCTGATTTTCAAAAGTGCAATAAATACTTAATATCTTTAAATCTACTTTAATTTTGTTTTTTAATTAAAGGGTATTACTGCCTTTCCTGTAAGTGAAGATATGATGAAATGGGAAGCTGAAATTGAAGGCCTACAGAATTCAATTTGGCAGGGTTTGTGTTTTCAAAACTAATCTATTTTTTTCCAAAAGTTTTTATTCCATTAATAGCCTCGTTACATGTATAATAAGGTTGCCTCATATACATTTTCTGAAATTATTATTTATATGCCTAGGTTTGCATCATATAAATTGCCTAGAATTCTAAAATTCTTCGCATGTTATTTTTTCATTATATGACTTATATGTTTCGCCACTTGTCAACACAGATGGAAATTTGGTGTTTGCATTTTCCTTTATGCCAAATCTTAATGTTATTACATTTTAAAGAAGCAGACACAATAAAGGATATCAACTGAGAATATCTTCTGGCAGTGTTCGTGAGATCAGGGAATAGCTATCAAAATGCCTATTCGCTTCTATTGGCTCCTATTGGCTATGTATGTCTCATTTTTCCTGCTATGACTTTCCCCCCAAATGTTCATCAATTAAATTCTCAGAAATACTGGGCCTATAGACTAAAACAAGATAGATTCCTGGAGTGAGATAAAATGTAATTTGTGCTATTATGGATTCTGAACAGAATGCTGAAGAGGGAGGCATGAGTTAATTATGCCTAGGGGAGTCAGGAATGTCTTCCCAAGGAGGTGGCATCTGAGTTGATACCTGAAGAATGTCTAAGAGTTTACCAGATTCAGGAGGAGAAGGAAATTCAGGCAGAGTAAACAGCACAGCAAAGGCTTGTAGTTGAGAAAGGTTCTGGGAGTGGTGATTTCAGTACATCTGAGATACAAAATGGAGGGCGCATGTTACCAGGGCGAAGGTAGTAGATGGAGAGGACTGGTTGGAAAGAGGCTGAGGACATAGAGCAATTAGATGGGGAAGAGTCTATTCCACATCCAAAGGAGTCTATGCACTCTGAAACAATTTACTTAAAACCATGAGAAGTCCAAACCATAGGGAGAAACTCTGGGTTAATCAGGAGACAGTTAATCAGTACAACACGACACTTTGGTAAAAATGCTTATTTCTTTGTCTTAGGAATGGTTTTCCAACTGACAATAGATTTTACGTCAGAATACAACTATGCCCCTCCAGTTGTGAAATTTACAACAATTCCTTTTCATCCAAATGGTAAGGACTAAATACTTGTTTCTTCTAATAATTGTGCATTTATTTTAAACAATTTATTATGCTTATAAAAGTAGGAAAGCTCATTGGAGAAAATATGACAAGGTTGAAAAAAATTAGCCATCAATCTTAAATCCTAATGCAAAGAGTAATACTCTTAGCATTATGTCAAATTTATTTTATTTATTTTATTTTTCTATGTAAGCATTATTTTCTATGAAGTTGAGGTGCTATATATGAAGTTTTGCATCTAGATTTTTTTTAATTTAAAAATTATGTCTTTTTCCTGCATTTTTAAACATTCATCAAAAGATCATTTTAAGTGGCTCAGTAATACACTTAGCCATTCCTGTATTGTTTAATATTTTAGTTGGATCTGATTTTTCATTATTATAAAACAAAGATGCACTGGACAAATTAACATTTTAGAAAAAAATAAGACAGCTATTTCACAGTTTACACAAAGTGAATTCCTGAGGGATCAAAAATCTAAAAATTTTAAATGCTGGAAAACAAGAAAATCTGATAGAAGTTTTAATGGGCTTGGTGAAGAAGGCCTTTCTAAGTATGATAAAATCCAGAAACTACTGGAAAAGTATGATATACTAAATGACATAAACTTTTAAAAACTTCTCTATAGCCAAGGACATTATAAACAAAGACAAAAGATGCTCAATATCAATAGTAAGAAAATAAATGCGAATTAAAACAAAAACATTGTGACTTAATCACACGTTGAAGAATATTAAAAGACGACAGCCCAGTGCGATGGCTCAAGCCTGTAATCCCAGCACTTTGGGAGGTCGAGGTGAGAGGATTGCCTGAGTCCAGAGGTTTGAGACCAGCCTGGGCAACTTGGCGAGACCTCATCTCTACAATAAATCAAGTTTGTATGAAGTACTGTGACATTTTCATCTCTCAAATGATAGAGAAAGCAATGAAGAAAATGAGTCAATGCATTGCCTAAGGCTACAGGTTCAAGACCAGCCTGGGCAGGTTGGTGAGTCCTCATCTCTACAACAAGTAAAAAATTAAGCAGGGCATGCTAGCACACGCCTGTAATTCCCACTATTTGGAAGGCTGAGGTGGAAGGATCGCCAGAGCCCAGCAGATCGACACTGGGGTGACTGTGAGGGCACCCTTGCACTCCAGCCTCGGTGACAGAGTGAGCCTCCAAATTAAAAAAAAAAGATGACATACAATTTTAGTAGGCATGGGTAGACATTGTTCCTCTGATATAATGATGACCTTTTGGAGAAGCATGCTGGCCGTTTCTAATCAGGTATAAGATGCATATAGCCCTAAATTTTTGTAATACCATGTTTATAAGTTATATAATTCCTATAAATTATTCTGTAGAAATAATAGAGTATATTTTATTTAAAGATGTTTATTCCCAGTAGCAACGTTGGAAATAGGAAAAATGTAATTAACTTCAATGTCCACGAATACAGAAAATTTTAAGTGAGATATCCTTTTAAGCAGAACAAGGAAGTTCTATGGAAGTTCCATCTCTAGAATCTTCACTGCCTGGCACACAGTGGGTGGTTAAATATTTATGTATAAAATTTTAAATCCAGAAAGGTGGTGGCCATTCACTGTTAAATGAAAAAAAACTGAACGAGAAAATGTAGAATATTATTCCAGTTAATAAACACACACACGTGTGTATACGTATTTGTAGATATACATATTTGTGCGTGTATATACACACGTGTGTATACATATTTGTAGATACACATATTTGTGCGTGCATATACATACTTGTAGATATACATATTTGTGCGTGTATATATATTTGTAGAGACCCACTGGTAAAAGTTTTAAGAAGTAGAATTCGTCGGCAGGGGAACATTTATCGTTTACTTGTATTTATGGGATTTTATTTTCTCCCAGGTGCGTGATTACTTTGTATAATTGAAAACTATTTTCGGAATTTACAGCACAGAAATTAACCTTGTACCTGTGCCATTAATTATTTAAAATACTCAGACTTACTGGATTAAATTTAATGGGAGGATATTAAATTTATCGCCCCCTCCCGCCCATACAGAGTAGAGGGAACTTCCGGTCTCCAGGAGGATATAGTAGGAGGAAACTCGCGGATGCTCTTCTTCCCCGTCACCCTCCCCAACTCCCCCGCTCCCGCGAGAAGTCACGAGTCACGAGAAATCACGTAACCTGAGCGGGGAGCCGGAGGAAGGACTTGCGCACGCGCGGATCCAGCCTGTTTCTAGCACAGCCCTCTTCTCCACCTCTCTGACCTTGGGCTCCTGGGGGGCGGTCTGTGATTCTCCAAGCGGGAAACTTAGGCTGGCCTGCCCTTGGGGAGTTAAGTTCAAATCAGGGGGACTTCTTTGGAGCCCGATGAAAGCCATGCATCAAGTGCATTCTCCAGTTGATTCATTCAGTCTTGTGTAAACACCAGCTTGTGTTTTTATATCCATCTTTCAACTCTTTGATCTATTTCATAATTATATATGAACCGAAGAGGAGAGGAGGGTTATTTATTAGCACCTAGACCCCAAAAGATGGCAAGGTACGGTTTTAAGTCTTTAGATGTGAAAAGCCAAATCGCCTTTTGGTGATATGTATTTCTTACCAAAAAGTATATATAAAGTTCTCATTTTAGCACCTTCCAATTCTAGACATTGAAACTTTGGAGACTTTTTTTTTCTTTTTTTTCTAATTTGATGAGAATCTTGCTGCTATTTTTATAAGCACTTCTTTGAATACTTGTGAAGTAAACATTTTCCCACACATTTGTGGCTGATTTCTTAGTTTGAGACTTGTCTAACAATCTAATCACATTGTCTTAGATGTTGCAGACCTTTCTTCTAATTTATCATTAATTTTATATTTTGTTGATACTGTTTTATTTTACATCTGGGGTTTAGAAATTTTTATGTAGTCAGATCTATTATCTTGCCCTTTGAGGTTTTTGCAATTGTCTTTAAGCTTAGATATTTCTTCCCCAAAACAAATCAAATAGTCATTTTAATTTTCTTCTAGTCATTCCATAGTCTTATTTTTCATATTTAACCCTATTCTTTTTTTAAAAAAAAAAGTACTGAATACTTAATTAACTGTGTTAGGACAGGGTATAGGGTACATCTTTCCAATGTAAAATAACAGACCAGGACCAGAAGGAAGTTCGGCCAATCTGTGTGAAGATTCCATTTCTGTGTCTAAGGCATTTTACTGTGTTTGTCACTAATTCCAGCAAGTGGGAAGGGGTAAAAGAAAAACAAAGAGGGAAAACTCCCTTACCCTTGTGCTTATTCTTACATCCCATGATTAAAACTTAGTCACAAGCCTACATCTTGCTGGGCATAGAGGAGCTAGAAAAAACAGTAGGGGCACCCATCTGTTCAGGTAAAACAACATGGGAGGCTGGGCATGGGAGCTTACATCTGTAATCCCAGCACTTTGGGAGGCCGAGGTAGGAGGATTGCTTGAGCCCAGGAGTTCAAGACCAACTTAGACAACACAGCAAGACCCTGTATCCACAAAAAAATCAATTAGTCAAGTGTGGTGCCATGTGCTTATAGTCCCAGCTATTCCTGAGGCTGAGTGGGGAGGATCACTTGAGCCCAGGAGTTTGAGGCTTTAGTGAGCTGTGATCATGCCACTGCACTCTAGCCTGGGTGATAGAATGAGATCCTGATTCAGAAACAAAAACAAAAATAAAACTATGGAAGCAGGTAAGAACCTGGGATAGGCAGATTATTTCTTGTTACTGAGAGAAGAAATAGAAGGAAAGAAGGGTAGATGTGAATGATTTTTCTGGTTTATCCTTTTGGTGGTCATAAGTTATAAATATTAATTTATTATATATCAATATTAATGTTTTACTTTAATACAGTAGACCCACATACTGGTCAGCCCTGTATAGATTTTTTGGACAACCCTGACAAGTGGAACAAAAGATATACATTGAGCAGCATCTTACTTTCCCTACAGGTAAGAACAGATTTCATAGACTGCCCTATTTAATACTTTTAACTGCCCTAATTATTCCTAATATAGACATCGAATTGTACAATGCATACTTAAGAATATGAGAATCTTAATTAAATCAACACATCTATATTAAGGCTACAAAGTGAAATTTAAATTATAAAGACTATTAAAGTAAAATTGATAGTTAAGGCCCTTCAAGACGAAGAAGACATAGTGTATAAAATAATAAAAGAATTGTTTGGATGGTTTCAATTCTAGAGATGCAGCCTCAGGCTTTACTTTGTCTCCTAACATCACTTTCTAATATTGAACTATTAGGTCTTTCAGATCGTTCCTCACTCATAGACCTTGCCTTCCGAGAGAAGCAAATCAAGTGCCTACAACTTAAAATGTCCAGCCTTATCCTTTGTTTCTGACAGTGCTAGCTATAAGGGGGGGTGGACCCAAAAAACCCTGGAATTTATTTATAAAAACTGTGTATTTACTCTTACACATTTAAACTTCAGTCATCTTCAAAGTACTCTCTGCTTGATGTAATATGCCTATCGTGACACTGTTTCCACTGCTCAAAACAGTTTTTGAACTTCTCAATTTTGATGCCTGTTAATGCTCCTGCTGTTTTTTGGCATCACCTCTTCCACATCAGCAAAACGTTTCCTGGGAAAACAAAAAAAAAGTGGCTCAAGGCAAGATTGGGTGAATAGGGAGCATGGGGCACAGGGCTAATGCCACTTTTGGCCAAAAGCTGCTGAACAATCAGTGCTGTGTAGGCAGGTGCATTGTCATGGTGGAAGAACCAGTCACCTGTTTGCCACAAAAAAATTCACTGAAGCCAAACTCAGCCTCTCACAACAATGCTAGCTGATGCTGATGGCTTCCTAGAACACTTACCTAGCGGGGGAAGCTCACCCTACAAAAGATAATTCCAGGTTTTTGGGGATCTCTTATAAAAGTGTTCATATCAAACAGTGATCACTTATACCGGGGCTTTTCTTTTCTCGCCAGATGGTTGCCTGTTTCCCAAATGCCACCTTTATTCCCTGGACCCATGGTTCATAGAAACATGCCTCAGTGTTGGGTTATTTCTGATCCTTAAAAATTCTCCTTTCTCATCTGATGCTAAATAAACTCTTCCAGTAGCACCTGCTTTGATGTCTTAGATCCAGCTTAGCCATATTCCATTGATGGACCTGCTATCACTAATAATATCTGAAGATAAGCTATTAAATTTTGATCATCTGGAATGCTTTGAGAACAAAGTAGTCTGTCTTAATTGAATTTTCTCAGCATATAAGCATAATACAAATTTCATTTCTTCTTTCTAAAAATAAATAAAATGATAGTTAATTTTCTGGCTGGCCACCTTAGTATACTGAGTGAAGTATAATTTTTAAGAAAGATTAATTGTTCAATTCATTCATTCATTCTACAAATATATTGAGGCTGTGTTCTATAAAAGAGACATTTGAGCAAAAATTTTAAGGAAGTGATTGTGCTATGCAGAAATCTAGAGTTGGTCCCTTCAATTCCTCCAAACTCAGACATATCTGTGTCTCTTCTACTGAAATGAACTGGTGAGAATTTAGAATTGCAGAAGATTTTAATAAAAGGAAACCTTCGGGCTCTGTGTTAGATTGGTTAGCTACACATCCTGGTTCTGCACCTTGATATCAGCGTACCACTGAACACATTTTTTGACTTCTCATTGCCTGATTTTTTTCACCAGTAAAATGGGGGCTGTTCTTAATAGCTATCTCATGTGACCTGTGAGAACGAAGTCAATTAATGCATGTAAAGTATTTGGAACTGTGCCTGGTCCAAGAAAACAACTCAGTACTTAATATAGGTTGAGGATCCCTTATCCAAAATGCTTGGGATTTTGGATTTTTTTCAGATTTTTGAATATTTGTATTATGTATACCTACTGGTTGAGCGTCCCAAATTTGAAAATTAGAAATCTGAAATGCTCCGGTGAGTATTTCCCTTGAGCATCATTGTTGGCACCAAAAAGTCTCAAAGTTTCAAGCATTTCAGATTCTGAAATTTCAGATTTGGAATGCGCAACCTGCAGTTAGTTAATATTATGATTGTTTTCCCCATTAAACAGTAATGCAAAGTGACAACAAAGCATTGCCAAACATATCATGGCAAGCCATTAGATAACACAGTTTTTGGTCTTATTATTTTTCAAATACATTAATAACACAAATATGCCCATATTACAGATTTTTAAGATAATGAGAAAGAAAAGAAAGTCACTAATAATCATAAAGAAAAGTCCTAGCTCTATTGTTATTAGAATTTCCTTCTAATCTTTTCTCCTGTGCTTCCGTTAAAATCTTTCTGAGGTTCCCACATTCTCTACAGGGTAAACCCAAGTTCTGTTGTGTGGTAAGTGATCGCCTCACACATGGGCTTCAGACTCTCCCTAACACCATGAAGTCCTGCTTCTATTTATATCTTCATGCTTTTCTGCACTCACATTGTTTGGTTCATTTCAGGTCAAAAAGCATTTATAGAGTTCTAAAGTCTCAAGTTACATACCAAGCAAATCTTGGACCTGAAAAGACATTCAGTTCAGTTCCCCACCTAACTGGCAACCCATTTTCTCCTACCCTCTTCCTCAGTCTGTCCAGCAAGCGCTGTTCACGTTGTAAGAGTGAGATCAAATGAGTCTTCCTCTGGGATGCCTTTTCTGGTTTCTTTTCCCAGGTAGAATTGGGCTTTGGTTTCGGGGGAGTTTCCTTTGCCACACATCCAACAGAACCCTGAGCAGATTTCTGTGGAAACACTGTGGAAACACAGAAACTGTAATGTATGTACTACTTCCTCATCTGTCTTGCCCTATTGGACTACAAGCACCCCAAAATCAGGAAATAGGGTTAATTCATCCTTGATTTCCCAATATTTACTTAGAAAAATGCTGACACTGGTAGGTACTAAATAAAATGGATGAACAAATGAATGAACCCAAATGTTTACATTATTGCAATTATAGTGTATATGTGTGTGTGTATATATATACTGGGCCTAATTTTAATTGTTTTAAATCTCAATTTAAATAGCCACCTGAGACTAGTTCCTATGGTAATGAGCAATACAAATTTAGACCATACTTACTGACTACTTCCTTTTGAGTAACTAATGAGACACATTTCCAATTATCACATTGTTTTTCAAGAGAATGGTTCTTGAAATGTTTAAAATATTTTGAAGTCTACATATACTAACTACTTCACCTAAAATATTTATAATCTTAATTTCTTTGAAAACTTGTACTTACATATATAATGCAAAGGTAAATAATATGCATTGTAGACTAAATTTCAAATTCATGAGTTGTTTTTTTTTTTTGAGTTGGAGTTTTAATCTGTCACCCAGACTGCAGTGCAGTGGCCGCTCCCGGCCACTGCAGCCTCGACCCACTGGGCTCCAGCGATCCTTCCGCCCCAGCCTTCCGAGTAGCCGGAATTACAGGTGCGCGCTACCACGCCCGGCTGATTTTTGATTTATTGTAGAGATGAGGTCTCGCTAAGTTGCCCAGGCGGGTCTTGAACCCGTGGGCTCAGGAAATCCACTCACCTCACCCTCCCAAAGGCGCGGGATTACAGGCTAAGCCACCGAGCCCGGCTCATGAGTTTTAATTAACTGGACATGATAAAATAAAGCACATTCAGGGTGGTATGGTCATAGACTAGACATTGTAAGTGTATCTACTGGTGCAGTTGTTTATTGAAGCTTCAAATTTTTGTATTTATTCCCTAGAGAACTTTTTTTGTTATTTCATACGACTAGATGGCTAATTTAAAAACTGGATTTTATTTTGTACTATTTTAGCAGGATGTGTGATCTAGACATTTTTATATATACCTTATATTCTAGTTCTTAAAAATCACTAAATATACTAAATAGCTTGTATACATATTATGGGAATAGGTCTTAGGCACAGTGGTTCATGAGAAGACTGTTGAATAAACTTTATCAGATGTAACTCTCTGAGTAAAATACTCTCTCCAGGTAGAGACCAAAAGCTTGCTCTTAAACTTCATCTGCTTCCCACCAACTTTTAAAGGTCTAGTGCAACCCACACTAAATCCCTATTTAAGCAATTATAATATTTTTGGAAATATAGCTCGATGTGTTTTCAAACAGGAAAATGCAAGTAGCAGCAGAAAATGCTTGTTGTTTTTGAGATCTCAGATGTCAGATGATCGCTTTCATTAGTTGTCGTCATTTCCATGAATCCTAAGCCACAATTATCCACTTTGGCCTGCATCTTCACTTAGGCAATTTGCTAGTTTTAACCATATTTTATTATGTAGCTTGCACACTATATAACATTCAAAATACCGAATTATTGAATAAATCTTTGCAGTTTGGGCTAATATTAATTTTGAGGCTCCAGATAAACAAGATCATGGTCTAGCCTGACTATTACGTTTGAGGGACTACTGGTCACTTGGTTTGTAGACATACTTGAAATGTGGCATGGATACCAGGATAGGCAGCACTTTAAAGATCCCCCTGCCCCACCAAGACTCCTGTCCTCCAGCTGTTCAATTAAACACTAATCTAGGTAGTACTGTGAAAGGACTTGTAGATGAAATGACAGTTACTCATCACCTGACCTTAAAATAGAAAGGTCATTCTGGATTATGCATGTGGGTCCAAGGTCATCACATGAGCCCTTAGCAACAGAAGAGGAAGGCAGAAGAGTAAGTCCCAAAAATATAGCAGAAAGAGAAGGGATGTGGCAGAAGGGAATATCAGTTTCCAAGCATAAGGAGAATTTGTCACTGTTGCTGGCTCTGAGATGTGAGGGTCTGAGGGCAAGGACTAGAGAGAGGCCTCTTGGAGCTGAGGATATCTCCGCCACTAACAGCGAGCAGAGAAAAAGGAACCTCAGTCCTACAACTTCAAGGAACTGAATTCGGCCAACTACCTGAGTGAGCTTGGAAGGAGATAATTCCCAGAGCCTTCTGATAAGAACCCAACCAGCTGATAGCTTGATTTCAGGCTGGTTAAAGCTGGGAAGGAGAAACCAGTCCGATCATAGTAAACTTTTTACTTAAGCAAGTGTGAGAGTAAAGGTGTACCATTTTTAAGCTCTAAATTTATGGCAATTAGTTACAACATCAGTGGAAAACTACAACACATACTAAGTTCATCAGTAAACGATCTAGAGGAATATTGAAGCTTGTGTAAGCCACAGTCCATATGTGTGTTTATCCATGATCTAAATGTGGCCTCATATTAAAATGTAAAGTTTTACTTCTTAAACCTTTTAATGGAAATGTTTCAGTGTTTCCTCATGTTTAGTTCCCTTTACTTATAAATTCAACTTGAATTCATATGATAAAAAGGAAGAAGTTGATCCATTATTAAACCATGATAGATCAAGAGTTTCTTAGGCGTAGAGACTATGTCTCATGCTATTTTTAATCTATCTTCAAGTCATAGTAAGCATTTTAAAAATGTCTATTGAAAGTTATATGTATTTGGTTGTTTCTTTTTTCTTTTTTTCTCTAAGAAAAAAGCTTACTTAAGAAGCTATATATTGTATGTGTTTTTCCCCAGGTTATGCTTTCTAATCCTGTGCTAGAAAATCCAGTGAATTTGGCAGCAGCCAAAATATTGACTAAAAATGAATCTGCTTACAGAGAAATAATTCAAAAACTTTTCAGCAGGCCATTCCAATGTAAGAAGTGTCTACTTATTGTTATTTGGCAATTATACATTAAACATTCATAGCAATTAAGTGATTTTGCAAATAATTTTTATATAAGGGAATGTTTGACTTTTCTCTATCCAGTTTCAGTTATGAAATGGTACTAAAATCACTCCTATTATAACTCTCTGTCCAACTAATCAGTGTGTTCCTTGGATAAGATCATCAACAATCTTAAACTTACTATCTTTAAAAAAGTGTTATGGTCATATGGATGGTTGGTGCCGAATGAAATTAGTCTACCCATTATAAAGATAAGACTTCTAATTTTAACTCTTCTTTCTGTGATTGATATTTCCCAGATTTTACCTGGGACACCTGGTTCTTACTGATCAATCCCTCCTTTCTTCTTGACTAGCAACACGTCAGCAATTTTTTTCTGGAGAGTTTCTCCCAGGCATTGCTTCTAAGAGTCCATGTGGAAGCAGTTCCTTCAGTCTTTCTGCTCTACTGATCAATGTTTTTCTGGTACCCTTGGTATCCCGCCAGCGACCTCTCTGTGACTTTTAATGCCACTGCCTCCATTGCCCTGTGCTCTCTCCTGTTGGCAGCATAATGCTGTTGGCTTCTTGTACCCAGAGGCGTTTCCCACCGGTGAGAGCTGGGCGCCTGGTGACATGGTTCTTTCCTTTACATCCTGTTCCACCTTCTTCTGGCAGCACACAGCAACCTTGTTTAGTAGCTGGTATCGTTACCTTCCCAGTCAACAGGACTTGATCTCTTACAGTGCTTTTCTCTGAGGCTTCCATTGTCTCTTTTTCCATTTCCCTTCTATGACCACCCGCCCACCCAGTCCATTAGCTAGGTCTGTACAGTTGCGGCTAAGTCCAATTTCTCCTCCTCCACAGAGATTTTGGGTCTGATTCAAATCAAGTGGTATTAACCAGGTATCTTTTCTTGTATCTCCATACATGTCCTGATGATCTCAGAGTTCCTCAAACATTCCCCGACAGTCATGAGGCTACCTTGTATACAGAGAAGTGGTGCTGCTTACCAGAATACTGTAGTATTCACTGCTATATCTTCTGCACTGGGAATAATAGTACTGGCACTCAATAGATATTAGTAGGGCTGAATGCATGAATTACACATATTACATGTCCTTTGATTGTGCCCTACAGTACTATCATGACAAAAAAAAAATCTATGTAACAAAGCTATGTCCACATTCTGGTGAATGGCAATTTTATTTTATTTTTGAGTTGTAGTCTTGCTCTGTCACCCAGGCTGGAGTGCAATGGTATGCTCATGGCCACTGCAGCCTCAGGAAATCCTTCTGCCTCAGACTTCCAAGTAGCTGGAACTACAGGCATACACCACCATGCCCTGCTTATTTTGTGATTTACTGTAGAGATGAGGTCTCACCAAATTGCCCAGGTTGGTCTTGAACCGTGGATTCAGGCAGTTCTCTCACCTTGGCCTCCCAAAGTGCTGGGATTATAGGTGTAAGCCATTGTGCCCAGCCTGTGAATAGCAATTTTAAAAACAGGTTTTAAAGCACGTTCTGCAAGTGGTTCTGTGCAATAGATTTTAGTTTTGCCCTGCATAGGGAAAGGTGAGAAGAAAACCTGGAGAGGGGTCAGCCCCGCTCCCCTTTTTTTTGTCATCCACAGGTAGACATCATCTTTCCCTCCTTTTCCTCCAACTTTGCCGCCACATCTGATAGAAAAACCACCCAAATTGCTGAACCACTCAAGTTGCTGAGTGACAGAGCAAATAGTCCTTTGCCAGGTTTTCACAACATGCTTTTAGTTATGTCGGTGAGATGTGTAAAAATCCAAGACAGCAAATGGGTATCAGCTTGCCATCTCAGTTGAACAGACAGTGTAGCCCGGGGTACTATGAAGAGCATGGTTTTCAGCAGCTTCATAGGGAAAGAGTGCCATGATACCCAGAGGCAGCAGCCACATGTCGGAAATGAGGGAGGGGCAGAAACCTCACTCACCCTGACCAGATGGTTGCAGAGCATTTCTGTGTGGGTTTGTGTGAAAAACTGCATCCAATGAGAATCAGTGACTTGTAACCACTTGGGGAAAGGTCTTTACTAGAATACTACCAGAATCCTCTCTCATAGCATACATTTAAAACATTAGTAAAGAGACCTAGGAAAAACATAGAAAGAATTATCATCACACTTTCAGATAACACAAAACTGGACCAGATACTAAATTGTGTAAATGAGAAACATGAGGTAGTTCATTGCATCATCTATGTAGGCATAGGCTGAAACTATAACCTCAGTGCCCAGTAAGTATTGAATACTGTGGCTCCAACTTTAATGGGATAAATGTAAAGGCACTCCTTTTGGTTCAGCTACTTGGAAGGCTGAGGCGAAAGGATCACCAGAGCCCAGCAGGTCGAGGCTAAAGTGACCATGAGCTTGCCACTGCACTCCAGCATGGGCAACAGAGTGAGATCTCACTCAAAAAAGAAAAAATTTGAAAGTACAGAATGGAAAAGCCCTAACTTGGTAACAAGTCTTGATTCTATGACCAAGTTCTTGGGGAGCTATTTGATCACAAGCTTAACATGAACCAGTAATAGTAAGTAGCCTTCTACAAGCATGTATTACATACTAAGTTTACCCTACTCTGGTGTGATGGGCCTTCATCCGAAATACCAGTATGTTCAACTCAGAGCATCACACCTCCAATGGCTGAAGAAACTATGTGTTTAGCCAATGGAAGAAAAGATACAGGGCAGTGTCAAAGCTGTTTTCAAATATTTAAAGCATTTCCTGTTAGAAAAAGAGACGTCTACTGATTTGCTGCAGAAATCTAAAGTAGGGCTAACGTTGACACTGCAAGTCAGTCATACTTTCCCAAGGTCTCCTGGGTCGTACCCACTGAAACTCAGAATGTGCAGGCTTGGCCAAGACTTGTGTATATATTTCTTAAATATATTGGGAGCTTTTTCCCATAATCAGTTGTCTGGGATTAATTTTGTAAGCCTAAGCCTAAGCCTGGTATTTGATATGCAGATATGCAAATGTCTCTCCTTACCCAAACTTTTTCCTAACATCTGTTCTGTTTGCCTTGGTATACAGACAGAAAGACACCAAGCTCTAAGCTCAAACCCGGTGTGTGGAGGTCTGATGCCCTTCCCGTTCCCTGGCAGCCTCCTTTCCTTGTGGCCTGGCCCCTGTTTCCCTTACTTGGGGTGCTCACATATGTATCCCGAGCTGTCTGGGATAGTCCTATCACGATTATTTCTGGTACCCCCTTTTCACTCACAGTATACCAATTTGGACAGCAAATTATATAGCCACTCGGACACCTAACTGATCTTTTCTAGAAGCAAATGCCACTATGAGTTGCACCATTCTTTTCTTTTCTTTTTTTTGAGTTGGAGTCTCACTCCATTGCCCAGGCTGGAGGGCAATGGCATGCTCATCGCCACCCAAGCGTCAACCTGCTTGGGCTCCAGAGATCCTTCCACCTCAGCCTTTCAAGTAGCTGGAACTACAGGTGCACACTACCACGTCCAGCTCATTTTTATTTATTGTAGAGATGAGGTCTCGCCAAGTTGCCTGGGCTGGTCTTGAACCCACAGGCTCAGGCAATTCACTCTCCTTGGCCTCCCAAAGTGTTAGATTGCAGGCTGAACCACCGAGCCCAGCCTTGCACCATTCAAAATGGTAAAGTCCACCCAGATCCCAGCTGGCCAAACGTGAGAAAGAACTTTTTGACAATTCAAGTTGCTTAAAAGAATGAACAAGGCCAAGTTGGCAGGCAGTAAATTCCCTATTACTAAAGGTATTCTTTTTTTTTTTTTGAGTTGGAGTCTCACTCAGTCGCCCAGACTGGAGTGCAGTGGCCGCTCCCGGCCACCGCAGCCTCGACCTGCTGTGCTCCGGCGATCCTTCCGCCTCAGCCTTCCAGGTAGCTGGAATTACAGGCATGCGCTACCACGCTCGGCTGATTTTTTTTTATTTATTGTAGAGATGAGGTCTCGCTGCCCAGGCAGGTCTCAAACCTGCGGGCTCAGGCAATCCACTCACCTCAGCCTCCCAAAGGCGCGGGATTACAGGCTGAGCCACCGAGCCTGACAAGGTATTCTTATATAACTAATGTTTAGTTAGTAGAGTTAAATGACCCTTTTTCAGGAATGTTGTCAAAGATCTTCTTGCCTGCTGTCAGGAGTTGGATAAGGAGGATTTTCAAGGACCTTCTAACTTAATCTTCAGTTAGTTTTTAAAAACTCAAAGGAGGCAGATTTGGAAGGAGAGGATGCAGTACTTTGTAACTTGTCATGAGCTCTCATATGAGCAGCTGTACACCTTTTTCTTCCAGTTTATCTTTGTGAATTTTGATTTCTATGTGGTTATATGGTCAAATATATTTATCTTCTGTTTACCATAGTTTTTGAATATTTTAAAACGTAGGGTTCGTATGATTTTTTAAAAACCTTTGGCTGAAGGAAAATACAAGAGTATAAAAATAGTAAAACTGAGTAGTGGTAGCTATACCATAGGTAATGACTATTTTTTTTAAAGCCAGGTATATTCCTATCATTTTTTATAAAGGAGAATATCCTAATAAGTTTAGAAACTTATCTAAACAAACTCTAATATAATAACTGGCATATTAGTCATAATAGCAGGATAGAGAGGAATTATAGAACTACAGGGAGATTATAATACTAATTTATATCATATGCTTTTAAAAACTTGATAATTGTGCAAGTACATCCTGTTCTGCTTGTGGTTAAAAAAATATTGTGCTAAGCATCTAATTCTTCTCCAATTCAAGCTTCCAGTTAGTTCGCTGGTTTTTCAAATCCTATAATAATAAAGCAGTTTTGAAGAAAACTGTCACTACGATTGAGGTAGGTGATGTCCCACAGGATTTCAGTTCTCTGATTTTTTTTTTCCTCTCTTTTTAGAGTGAGTATATTTTCTTGATTAGGTGTAGGAATACTTCCCCTGAGAAATACATTTTTTGGATGTCGGGGGAGAAAGAAATTTTAACAAGTAGCACTGCTCACTTGTTAACATGGGCTTTAGCACCATCGTTTAGAGCCAATTTTGTTGCTGATAATTATGATATTACGGAGATCCTGTTACTTAATAACTGCTGTGAGTTTAACAGGGTGGTCGCGTGTGGATCTGTTTATTGGGGCAACATCCTTCTTTTTCCCTGTTTGTGTTTCAGTGTACCCAGATAGTTCAGTAACTTTTAAGCAAAGTATCTTGCTCTTGAATGCCTGAGCTCAAGCAATCCTCCTACCTAACCCTAACCCCAACCCTAACCCTAGCCCTAACCCTAACCCTAGGAGCTCAAATATTCCTCCTACTTCAGCCTCCCAAAGTGCTGAGATTTAGTTTTAAAATGTTAAGTATTTTCCATCAAGGAAATATGTTTATAACTTTCAGAGACAAATAATGGGAGTCGGTTTTTAATAAAATATAGCCAGCTGTAGAAGCCCACATGCTCCATTCCCGAGTGCTGCCCCCTAGAGGCAACAGCCTTCAACACATTTAGCTGTTTCAGCTGGCATTTGCTTCTGTATTTCTAAGCTTATTCTATACCAATATTTCTGGCTTTTTGTTTTTAGATATTATTTAGAGACTTCTGTGTGAAATACAAAGATATAGCTTTTATGCTGCCATTCCTAACCACACTTTCTCTCATCTAGCCTCCTAATATAGTTTAGTTACACTAATATGACTTTGTAAATATTTGTCACAGATAAGTCATGCGTATCTTTTCTTGTATGGCCTGATTTTTCATTTTATTGCTTTCTATTTATTTATTTGTCTGACTTGGGGGTCTCGCTCTGTGCCCAAGCTAGAATGCAGGGGCACGATCACGGCTCACTGCAGCCTTGACTTCCTGGGACTTGATTTACTTTGGCCTCCCAAAGTGCTGGGATTACAGGCATGAGCCACTGCACCCAGCTGTTTTTTTATTTTTTATTTTTTTATGCTTCTACCATCTATTCTTCCCCTAAACTTTCCGACAAGCTGTAAAACAACTCCCAGGTATTCAATCAGTATTCAGTCTGCTTTGTTTCTGTTTTTGGTTTTTTGTCACCTCGGAAACATCTTTCCCGGCACTCCATCCTCCTTCCATTCTGAGCGGGCAGGTCTCTCACAGGCTTGCCAGGGTGGCCCTTTGGTCTGCCTTCTGAGTTGGCGCTCCTGCCTGAGTTCTCGTTTTCCTTGCAGTTGGTTTGCTCCTGCGTTGTATTAAAGCACATCTTTTAGGAGCTCCCTAGTACATGGGAGCTAAGCCATTCATAATTTTGCATGCCTGAAAATGCAATTGTTTGACTCCCATATGCTCATAATTTGGTAAAATCTTAGTTTGGAAATAATTTTCTTTCAGAATTGTAAAGACCCTGCTGCCACCTAGTTTCTTTTTTTTTCTTTTTTTTTTTTTAACCCCCGACACCCTCCCCCCGCCGCCATCTAGTTTCTAGTGTTGCTCTTAAGAAGTCTGATTTCATTCAGATGTCCAATTCTTTACATGTGATTTAGTCTTTCTTTCTGGAAGCTTTTTTAAATCTTCTCCTTTTCCCAGTGATCTGAAATGTGTTAATACTGTTTCTCGGTGTTCCTTCTCCCCATTACACAGGGCATTTGGTAAACTGTTGAAATTTCAATCTCTAATCCTTCAATTGTGGGAGGTTTTCTTATATAATTTCTTTTATAATTTATTTCTCCTTAATTTCCCTTGTTGTCTCCTCTAGATCATCTGTGGTTTAGATGTTGGCTCTACTGATCTGACCCTTTAATTTTTAAAGTCAAATTTCTCCAATCGTCCATCTCTTTGTTTTTTTATTGTATATTCTGAAAAGTTCCAGAAAACTGTGTTCTGTTTCCTGTTTTTGTTTGAACTGTCGTCTTTTATAATATTGATGCTGCTGAAATGTCTAGTGAGCTTTAACTGTTCATTCAAACGATGGACATGTGATGAATCGTCTACTAAAAAGATTGAAAGTTCTGAATGCAGGTTGGGCCTGTTAACAGTTTTATTTCATTGTAGGGTTATTTGGTGAGAACTTGGCCATTTCATTAGCTACCTGGGCTACTGAATTGAACAGCTTCCAGTCTGGGAGGGAGGGAGAAGAGAGAGAGAGACAGAGAGAGAGAGCTGCTAATACTCTGAGAGCTGGACAAGGGGAGAGAGTCAGGAATCTTGTCTGTTCAGTATGATTTTTTCCATTTTCAGCTCCTTACCATACTTCTGTTATGCTTTGTTTCTAGCAATCTCCAGTCTTTGGTCTTTCTGACTCAGTTTCTTTTGCAGTTGAACCTCCTCCCTCCTTCCCAGGTGGTCACACAGAAGGAGGGTATAAATCTTGGGGTCTGTACTCTACCTCTTACCCCTTCTTTCAGAGATGTCTAGTACCTTCAATTCCTGCACTGTTTCTCAGGTTCTGAAGTGCAAATCTACTTGCTTTTTATTGACCTTCTCTCATCATGCAGTTAGGTTTCAAATTTCTGTGGCCTGCTAAGATGGTTACCACTTGACATCTGCTTTCCATCTTGAAAAATTTTCTTGTCATCTTTCTTTTTCTCTCCTTGAGGTTTTATGCCTTATTTTTATTCCTTTATTAGCATTTTATTGAGGCTATGGAAAGAGTGTGCATAAAGCCATATATTCAATCTCCAGGTAAACCAGAATCTTTTCATATTTTTCTTTACAGCAAAATATGACAGCCTAGAGTTACCTAAAGACACTTATCAATTTATCAGGTAAGTTTTCTTTATACAATTTTATGTCAATTTACTTACCAAAAGGACTATTAGTTTAAACTGTTTATATTTTTACCATAATTGAATTATTTTTTTTTAACTTAGAAAAGGAAGTAGATATCTTTTCCTCTTAACAATACTTTTAAAAATACTGTTTTCAGAAAGAATGTGGAAAATTATTGCATTCTTTCTAAACTAGAGGAAAATGATAAGGGTCAAGGCTGAAGCCATTGTACCTTTTGGGAAATGACCTGACATCATTTCAGCCTGAACGCCTGAACAAGGTAGAAGTCTAGAATCTCTCATACGGTTCTGCAGCATTAGTTTCTTAAACATTTTCATCAGCTTTATTTTGACAGTCAATCAGATATAGAAAACAGCCAATTAACTAGTGTTGAAAAATAGCGCTTAGTTTAGCTCAAGTTTCCTTAACTGACCCTGTAGTATAAAGTGTGAATAAAATTAGGTAATTTAAGTAGCTTCTGTTGTGAAAGAATGTTGAAAATCTGCATAATCTAGTGAGTAGTACACTAGGTTGGGATTCAGTAGAGGACAGTGCTGCCTCTTAAACATGTCAAAGCAAACTGACCATCCTGACACAAAATAGGCCTGTGATAAATTGCTGTTCAGTGCATAAACACTATTTTATCACCTGTAAAGCATGAATGTCCTTAGACTATCAAAATGTTCTTTCTCTTTATGGCATGCTTACTTGGAGTGCATAAAGATACAGTGCCAGTATTTACTAATAAGGCTGTAGGAACATACTCGAAGACCCTCTGTGGTCCCAGCTTCAGAAGATCCTCCGAACTAAACCAAGGATGAATGAACCAGGTCTGATTTGTGGTGTACACCTTGTGCCAGCCTGAACTCTCTAGAGAAGCCTAGACTCAAGGTGGGACTCAACTGAAGCAATACAGTAGACAATGCTACTCTACACTCCTGGTGTATATATCAGGCTGCAATTTATTATGTATTTGTGGATTCTAATGTTTGCCCCTGGTACATTTGTTCTGAAATAGAGCTCGGTTAAGTCTAACTTTTAAATAATGCATTCACAAGGAGATCTTGCAGAAATTATTCAAAGAGAAATCCTGTTCTTAGTACTGTGTTAATCTAGCATCATTTGCTTACAACTTTGTGTTACTTCATGAGCTGGAAGACCTGATCTTGCTGTAGAAATGTATTCCAGAGACATAGCCAGGCAATTGAAACTCTCCTTCTAAAGACATAACAAAACTCAGGCAAAGCCCAGTCAGTTGGGTAGAATATAGCTGGGGGAATCCAGCTGATGTTCAGTAATTGAAGGTGACTTGAACTTATGCTAATCATCTGGGGTGTTTGCATATGGTCTATAGGATACCACTTACAGGTTATGGGGCAGGTTTTCAGTCCCTGGCAGGACAGTTACTTATTCATGTATTTAAAATGAGTTCACTGAGCATATGCTCTATGCTAGGCATTGTGCCTGAGTGTTGGCAATACACACCTGAATAATAATAATCAAGAGATTTATACTCTGGGGTTACAGACTGGCAGAATGGATTTAAAAACACAGCTCAAATATCTGCTGCCTTCAAGAGATCCACTTAACTTACAAAGACTACTGTAGACTCAAAGTAAAGGGTGGGGGGAAAATATTCCACACAAATGGAACCAAAAATGAGTAGAAGTAGCCATTCTCATACCAAATAAAACAGACTTTAAATTAACAACAGTAAAAATACAAAGGTGGTTATTATATAATAATAAAGTGATCAATCTGACAAGAAGACAGAACAATTTTAAATGTGCCTAATACTAGAGTCCCAGCTTTATAAAACAAATTCTACTAGACCTAAAAAAAGAGATAGACAGCAATACAATACTGTGGGAGACTTCAACACTCCACTGACAGAAACAGACAGATCATCAAGGTAGAAAGTCAACAAGGAAATATTAGAGTTAAACAGGACTTTGGAGCAAATGGAACTAACAGACATCTACAGAACATTCCATCTCCAAACTACAGAATATACATTTTTCTCATCAGCACATAGAACATTCTCCAACAGAGACCATATACTAGGCCATAAATCAAGTCTCAATAAATTCAAAAAATTTGAAATTATATCAAGCACCTTCTCACAGTGAAATAAAACCAGAAATTAACTCCAAGAAAAACTTGCAAAACCAAGGAAAAACATGAAAGTTAAACAGTCTGCTCCTGAATGATCCTTGGGTCAACAATGAAATCAAGATGAAAATTTAAAACTTCCTCAAAATGAATGACAACAATGAAACAAGCTATCGAAACTTCTGGGATACAGCCAAGGCTGTCCTCAGAGGAAAACTTATAGTGCTTAAGCCTACATTAATAAGACTAAAAAATTGCATGTCAACAACATAACATCACACCTCAGGAAACTAGAAAAACACAAACAAAACAAACCCAAAGCTAGCAGAAAAGAAATAACAAAGGTGAGAGAAGAATTAAATGAAATTGAAATTTTAAAAAATTCAAAGGATCAATGAAACAAAAAGTTGGTTCTTTGAAAAGATAAATAAGCCGGCCTTGGTGGCTCAGTCTGTAATCCCGTGCCTTTGAGAGGCTGAGGTGAGTGGATTGCCTGAGCCCGCGGGTTCAAGACCCGCCTGGGCAGTGAGACTTCATCTCTACAATAAATCAAAAAATCAGCTGGGCATGGTAGCACTTGCCTGTAATTCCAGCTACTTGGAAGGCTGAGGCGGAAGGATCACTGGAGCCTAGCAGGTCGAGGTTGCAGTGGCCAGGAGCGGCCACTGTACTCCAGTCTGGGTGACAGAGTGAGACTCCAACTCAAAAAAAAAAAAAGAAGAAAAGATAAACAAATTGATAGACTGCTAGCTAGATTAATTAAGAAATGAAGAGAAGATTTAAATTAGCTGAAATGAAATGAAATATGGAGATATTACAACTAATACAACAGAAATTCAAAAGATCATCCGAGACCATTATGAACACCTTTATGCAAACAAACTAGACAATCTGGAGGAAATGGATAAATGCTTGGAAACATACAACCTCTCAATTGAATCAGGAAGAAATGGAAAACCTGAATAGACCAAAAATGAGTAATGAGATTGTAACAGTAATAAGAAGACTTCCACAAAAAAAAAAAAAAAAAAATCCAGGACCTGACGGACTCACAGCTGAGTTCTCTGAGACTTTCAAAGAACTAGTACCAATTTTGCTGGTTATTCCACAAGATTGAAGAGGAGGGAATCCTCCCCAACTCGTTCTACAAGGCCAGTCTCGTTCTGATACCAAAGCCGGGAAAAGACACACACAAAAGAAAACTACAGACCAATATCCCTTATGACCATAGATGCACAAATCCTCTACAAAACATTAGCAAACCAAATTCAACAGCACATAACAAAATAATCCGCCATGACCAAGTGGGTTTTGTACCAGAGATGCGAGGGTGGTTCAACATAACGCAAGTCAAAAAACGTGACCCACTACATAAACAGAATTAAAAACAAAAATCATATGATCATTTCAATAAATGCAAAAATAGCATTTGATAAAATTCAGCATCACTTTATGATAAAAACCCTCAGCAAAATAGGCATGGAACATTCCTCAAAATAATAAAAGCCATATATGACAAACCCATAGACAATGTCATCCCGAATAGAGAAAAGTTGGATGCATTCCCCCTCAGAACTGGAACAACACAACGTTGCCCACTTTTACCACTCCTATTCAGCATAGTACTGGAAGTCCTAGCCAGAGCAATCAGGCAAGAAAAAAAAATAAAGAGTACCCAAATTGGAAAAGAAGAAATCAAACTATCTCTGTATGCTGACGATATAATCTTATACCTAGAGAATCCTAAAGACTCTGCCAAAAGACTCCTGGACTTGGTAAATGAATATGGCAAAGTTTCAGGATATAAAATCAACACACACAAATCAGTAGCACTGCTGTAGACCTATGCAGCCTAGCTCAGAATCAAATCGAGAACTCAATTCCACTTACAATAGCAGCCAAAAAGCTAAAATACTTAGGAATATATTTAACCAAGGAGGTGAAAGATTTTTACAAGAAGAACTACAAAACACTGATGAAAGAAATTCTCCACAAACAAATGGAGAAACACCCAATGCTCATGGATTGGAAAAATCAAAATTACCAAAATGACAATATTACCCAAAGTAATCTACAGATTCAATGCGGTGCCTATCAAACATTGTTTTTCACAGAATTAGAAAAAACAATCCTAAAATTCTTATGCAACCAAAAAAGAGCCAGATGGAGGCATCACATTATCTGACTTAAAATTATGCTACAAGGCTGTAGTAACCAAAACAGTATGGTACTAGTATAAGAGCGGACACATGGACCGATGGAACAAAATATCGAATTCAGAAATAAGCTCAAATACTTACAACCAACTGATCTTTGACAAGGCAGACAAAAACATACACTGGAGAAAGGGCACCCTATTCAACAAATGCTGCTGGGAAAATTAGATACCTACATGCAGAAAAGTGAAACTTGATCCCTATCTCTCCCCATATACAAAAATTAACTCAAGATGGATTAAAGACTTAAATGTCACACTTGAAACTGTAAAAATCCTAGAAGATAACCTAGGAAAAACCCTTCTGGACATCAGCCTAGTCAAAGAATTTATGGCTAAAACACCAGAAGCAAATGCAACAAAAACAAAAATAGGCTGGGTGCGGTGGTTCATCCTGTAATCTCAGCACTTTGGGAGGCCACGGCGAGAGTATTACCTGAGCCCGGGGGTTTGGGACCAGCCTGGACAACTTGGTGAGACCTCGTCTCTACAACAAATCACAAAAACTAGCCAGGCGTGGTGGTGTGCATCTGTAGTTCCAACTACCTGGAAGGCTGAAACGGAAGGTTGGCCTAAGCCCAGCAGGTCGAGGCTGCAGGGGCCATGAGCTTGCCACTGCCCTCCATCCTGGGCAACAAGAGTGAGACTCCAACTCAAAAACAAGAATGC